CTCACAGCCCTGATTATGACCCCATGAATAATTGAAACAATAGCCTGCAACATAGCACAACTAGGCTAGACATTGTTGATCAGGACCTAATCTGAACGTCAAGCTCCTGTCTTCAATTAGAATAACTTCTTTATCGATCTTTAAGGCGAGATTATGTGTGGCTAGAAAGAGGTTGAAGACTCAAAGGAAAATGGTAAGTGCTGCATGATTGAGAAGCCGTCCAAATGGAGATATGCATGTGATTACTTTAGACTTCGATTCGGATGCGACTCTTCTTGGCTATTCCAGATATGTACAGCATACCGGGCGATTATACCGGCACTTCTGGAAGGTGAAGAATTCGTCTTTGCCGGCTGACAAGATTGATGTGTGAAAGTACTTTAATAAATCCTTAGAATAATAAGCTAAAGAGAGAAGAAAAAGACTATAAAAATCAGGGGACCTGCCCAAACTATATTCAAAGAATGTGGGTAACATGATTGAATTGGCGGGCAATGTTTTTTTTTTGCAGCAGTTTTTAATTCCGTATGCAGCTATCTAGCTATGACACAATATCAAAGAAAAGTACAGAATAGATGATTCAACGTAAGGGAAGAGCACTCATGCCTCAGATTTCATTTGCAAGTACCACTGCGAAGTTATGGTGGATCTTTCTTCACCCCAAGTCAACCCTCATCCTTGAATACTGTCAACGGCCAAGAATAACCACCGAAGAAGTTGGACAAAGAAATGTCTCAGGTCAAAAATAGGGACTGTCCATACATACGTGGGTTATTTGTTTCGGTCAGTGCTTCAATTCTGTATTTAGAACTGCAGGTTATTCTATTTCTAGCGCATGTCTATATTTAGAGATCAAGAGATCAAGTCAATCATGATCAGTGTATATAGTCCTAGAATTCCGGGAGAAATAGAAATCAAGTTGTTTTTACTGAGTTATCTTTTACTTTAATTACATACACTTCGCCTGTCACAGGTCAGGCTCCCAGTTACCTGACAAATACCCACTCAGGGGAGCGTCTCAAAAACCCTGAGTTATCCAGACATGCCTCCGTCATCTTTCAAGTTCTCTCCGCGCGAAATATGGTCTTTGGTGTCTCCTTCCGAAGTGGAGTATGGGCCCAGGCTACTCAAAATATACCGGAGAACACCACCAGGAGGCCGACCACGGCACCTTCCATCGTCGGCCTGTTTTTATAGTGTCAGCTGCACTCTCGCAAACGAAGTCTTGGCGCGCACAAAGCTTAATTCGTAAAAACTCCTTGCCAAAATTCGGAATATCATGCCCTTCGAGGTCATATCCTTCTATTGCATCATCTTGTCAACTTGTCCTGATTCCTCTCACGTCCATCCCAAAGAACTGTCTCCCAGATTTGTGTACCACGCTTTGCTTCCTCCGTCGGGTATAAATATCGGCGTGGGCGTGTATTTGGTGGTCAACTGAGGCCAGAGAAGATCGAAGAGACGTGTGGTCATTGGGAAGAGGATGTTCTTGTTCATACTTGTAAGCTTGATGAGACTTAGGAAGGTATCGATCTCGTTGGGAGTAAAACTTGGACATGGTGGAGTAATTTGAATTTTTGTCTCGTGGGAGGCCTTCTACTTAGTGCCGCGCTAGTGGGAGCCCGCTTTTTTTGCACTGTTAATGATATGATCGAACGTATATCGCACCCTTTGCGTCTTCTTTGGTTTCCCCATTGCATGGATTAGAAGATCGTGCACCGGAGGCATGTCGATAGCCTAGAGTGCCAAGCGATCGGATAATAATATTTGGATAACGGTTATAGGATATTAAAAGGTTAGATCAAAGATTTTCGAACTACTCAAAATTATATTTTTGATTTTTGAGTGTTTATGAATTAAGGATTCAGGAAATCGACGCCTACTGTACTCATGTGGAAACTTTAGCGAGATTATGGCCGGGCTGGTAATGGTTAACTGCCATCAAGTACATAAGCCTCGCCTCGCATGAATGACTAGACCACCTCAAACATCATTCATGTGTTAAACATGTCAGTTCCAACTGTCTAGAGAACCCGAATTGATGCTGCCAAACGCAAATTGCTCTTCAGACTGGGTTACAACGCGCCTGAGGCCTGACACCTTCCTCATCTCTAATTTTTTCCTTTTCATTTAGTGCCAGTCGTGCCTCATCTCAGCATCTTCTCGGTTTTTCCAGGCGATAAATTTTTTTACATCCTCTTTGAGTCTGTTTATTTAAAATATCCAGGTAATATTTCCTTCATCCTAGACTCCGTGTAGTTGCTTGTTGAATTCTCCATTCTTCTTACGTATTAATTGTCAATTTTAGCATTTCCTAGTTGTACCTATCAAAATAGTCATCTGAGAAACTTGAAATCCTCCCAGCGCCGGCCTCGCTCTTAACCGATAAGGTAGAATGTGCGTCGAAATTGTCCAAACATGAGCACCGATGCCTCGAATTTTCTCGAACTCTTTTGTTAATACACCGACTAAAATCATGCCACTTTCGTTGTTGTCTTTGGTCGAGGTATATCTGCATTTAAGACCGATACCTCTACTCTACCTTCAGAGTGCGCGACGGTCGCGAATGGTTGAATTTCTTTTTGTCTAACGTTGAACCTAAGACTTCTGGAAATTGGAATATTTTAGTGAGTGGTAGTATGATTTTAGAAAGCGTCGCGACATGATTTAAAATGGGAAAGATCTGATCGGAAAAATTTTGGTGATGAAGGATGTCATTTATTTTAATACGAAAATCTTGCAGATCTGATCTTATCTGCGGTTAGTATTGGAGATGTAGATAATTGAATTTGCTGAGTTGTGCAGTCATGAAATCTCTGCAGGTCAAGTTTTTAACCAAAAGCTTGCCAACAATACTCTAGCCGACTGAAATCGTAACACAAGCTATCACATGAGATGGATCGTGAGGAAGAGGAACGAGTATAATGTCGTAAATTACAAGGAGTTTCTAATTGCTATTTTACATGAAGACTAAACAGAGTAATGAAAGAACGCCGCACTCTAACACATTTGCACCACATGCATAATTACAACATAAGCTCTTGAACTCACCACTTGTCGCTACTGGATCTCGGCTCCGGAGGAGTATTTCGCCCCAGGTTCATAAAGGGCAACATTGACAGATACCTAGCCTTCGTCCTTTCCCTGAAAGTGAGGTGAGGCGATGCTGGAATCTTAAAAGGCAAAGATGATGATTTCAGAGGAAGCCTCATGGTTCGTCGCGCTCGTAGAGCGTTCCGTGAACAGGAGGACTTGACATGATCCGACTTGTGGGTAAATCTGGGGTAATCTGGTATTATAGATAGAATGTAGTTTGAATACTTCTAATGGCTAACCTGATCTGGCCCAGCTCCACCTGCACTGAAGCTCCTAATGAATGCGGAGGTTGCCTACCGCGTAACAGGTTAATCTACAAACAAACTAGTGAGGTACAAGCCCTTGAAGTGGGGCAAGACTGACAGCTAGAACGAGCCAGCCTGACTCCACTTATATGTTAGTCAAGGGTCTGGGCCCAGCTACCTGTACCTGGCATTTGAGAAAGCCTTTCTGATTTCTAATAAACCCCCGATAATCTCTCGCCCCTAATTTCAAGATTAATCTTTAAGATCAAGGTTATTTGTTCCCTGCTAGGAAAATACTGGTGAGCGACTGAAAGATGACTGGTCATTTCAAGCTAAGAATGTCTTTCCGCCGCCGCAAAAGTCCACTTGAAAATGAAGGTTTTGAGCCCCTCGTATCGCCCACGTGATAAGGGGATCAACGTGAATGTGGCTTGGAACATGAAGTCAGCTGGGACACACTGCAACTTACGCAACTATTAAGAAAGCATGGGTAAGAAATAATTATAGATTTAGTCATTCAATCTGAACATTCTACACCGAGCGTCTGCTGGAGTATGTCTATCACGTTGCAACCAATTTTAATCTCATATGTTGCCGTCCTCAATGATAGAAATAAAAATTGAAGGCAAGATTCACTTCGACTATCAATATGCAAGGTCATGCACTATATTTTGGGAAAATGTTGACCTCGGTTGGTCTAGCAGATTCTGAACATTTCATGAGAGACTAGACTCGAAGAATATTTAAAATCTATTTGGACAAAATTATGCGTAGGAAAGGCATCGATGATTAATTCTACTTAATTGAATGGCCCACGAGTTTTGTATAGAATATACTCTATTTACATCTAGTAGGCTTTGATACTCAATAAGTCACCATATGTATCCAGGGATACAATTCATATATGTATTCAAGTCCAATTATCATTTCAGTCAGCCATTCTACGTTGCAGAAGATGACAAAACTAGAAAAGCTATACGAGCAGTTCTCAATTTGTCTGAGCTAGGAGAAAGATATGTGTTGCTAGAATTCCGTCTAAATTGAAAAAGTTAGCAACAGTATGGGAGAGTTACTCTGAGCGGTCAAGCTTGTATGGTACTATCGCTAGATTAAGATAGAATATCCCAAGTAGCAGCTCGTTCGATGACATCTTTGCCGGTGGTAGGCACAATGAATAAATAATCTTGATCACTTGTGCTAGATCACGTGATTAGACTGGAGAACGTCCGAGAATGAAAAGGGTTTATTGGTGAAGGGGTGGCGGAAATGAACAATCACTCAGCCAAAATCTTCTTTTTCCCTCCACGATTCTCGGTATCCATCTGAACTCAACTTGTCCGACACATGAAAAATCAAATATGATTTAACCCAACAAACCGAAAACAATTACCCTGTCTAAACTCGAAGCTTCATTACAACCGTCTTCCCTTCTCCTTCGTTCCTCATCAGTTCCTTTAAGCTTGCTCACTCACTTTCTTTTCGCCAATCTACCAATCCGCTCGTTCAGTTTACTCGATCAGCTAAAGCCCTGTTAACCCCACCCAAGTATCAAATTTTCTGCCTGCAACTGTATTTCGACAACTACTTTGACTCAGGGCGAGAAAGACGATAATTCTTCTTGAGGCATTTAGCCTTGAGAATTCACAGAAACCCCTCAAGATGAACAAACTAGCAAATATGCGGCATTGGTCAGAGAGAATGGGCCCTGGTTTTGGCATGTCAAGGCAGCCAAATATGAGCATGACTGCAATGGCACCCCAACACAAAACAATTTCTCATGGTCAAACATCCAACCTATCTCCTAGTGCACCAGATACTTCGATCTACTACTCTTTCAACGTACCATTTGCTTCTGATCTTGCCGGTCCAAATATTGAAGATATTCTTTACGCCACAAAAGGCGCAGTGGAACGATGGACACATCCAGCTAACGCGCCAGATGATGTGCCAATTCATGAGCTACCTGTACACTCCCAAAATGTCATTGCATTAAGAAAGATGTGTCATGATATTACGATAGGGCCACTTCCAGTTGAGGCTCATGTTAAATCATCAGAGCCCAAAAGGGTTAAGGGACAGGTTACCAATGTCTGTCTATCTGGAAGCCCGGAGTTAGTCCACAAAAGTCGGGAGACAATTCTTAACGACACCCCGCTTGCACTGGTATGGATTACTTACTAGAACATTAGTTTGTTTGTACTAATTTTTACAGCGCTGTGCAGTTGTAGACGTTAATGGTGAACTAATAATAAATGTTGAAAAAACAGCTTTAAAAACAGCTGTTATAGATCACCTCGACTCTATATCCGAATTTTGTGGCGTCGATATCTTCCTTCTCGGGCCAAAATTTGCCTCTCTAACGGAGACACAGAATTTAATTGGAGATGCTGGTAGAGATCAGAGATGGAGAGTCGCCATTTACGGAGACATGGAGAGTGCCGAGCACGCAAAGACTAGAGTTCTAATATTTATCGATCGAATTGTAAGCAAGATGAGATATGTTTAGTAAATTCTTCTAACCTACCATTTAGTTGGGTCGAGTTGTTGACGGAACCATGCTTGAGCTTTCTCTTCACACAGTTATTTGTGGCCGGTCTCGAAAAAATATTAAACTAATTGAATCATCGACAAACACCGCAATTTACTTTCCTCCACCATTCTCTCAGGTATATCGATACTGCCCTTCCGGGGCCCAGAGACGAAATCCTGAAGAGATTTTTATAACCGGTGAAACACCTCAAAGTATTGCTCTGGCCAAGCAAAAGATTCATGACTTAGTCAATCGAACAAGGATTTTTATGAAAGATGCAGTTGTCTCAGCATCAAAAATTGACAGCATTCTTCTTGGGAGGTTGGACAAGGTGCGCAGGATCATGGAGACAAATGGAACGTTTATTCAGTTTCCAGCCCTCGCTTCTCAACGAAACATGATACGTATTCAAGGTACGGAAGGTCTCCATGTTGAACGAACAGTGAGGGACGTCATGCCTCTTGTAATTATCCCCAACTCTTACTACAACATATTACTAACCTAATAAAAGACAGGTCAATTCTATAGTGCTTCATGGTGGATCCAACAAGCGGACACGTCTAGACTCCCTTCGCCAACAGATATCCGTACCATGCTTTCCGATATCTGCGCGAACTCTGATGCTGATGTTTCATTCGACAAACTAACTTTCACAATAACTGGCTCTGATGATGCCGTAAAGGCAGCACTAATGGTAATTTCCGAGATTAAGTTTGTAACAAGATCACAGTATCAAATTCGAGTCAAGATTGAGCTCGCTAATGAGCACAAAGAGTTTGTCAGTGGAAAGAAGAATGGAAAAATAAACAAAATAATGGGTCAAAGCAGTGTTCAAATCATATTTGATGGATTCAGTGAATATAATTTCAATATTGACGTTTGTGCTGCAGTTTATGATACCATGAAAACAGGTCTAGCTCTTGTCGAGCAAGAAATGCCAGCTTCAATCTCATTCCATGTACCAGATCAGTATCACAAACGCATAATAGGTATTGGAGGGCAGCATATTCAGCGTATTATGAAGAAGCACTCTGTCTTTGTCAAGTTCTCGAATGCCATGGAGAGAGGTGGAGTTGGTCGAGAAGACGATGACATCAAGGTTGACAACGTTATTTGTCGCACGCCTGCCCGAAATGCACAGAACCTTGAGCTTGTCAAGTCTGAGATATTGGATATGGTTGACCGAGTTGACTCTGAATTTACCTCTTCAACCGTTAATGTTGACCGCTTATACCATCGACAACTAATTGCTCACTTGGCACAGCTTGAAGAATTAGAAAAAAAATGGAATTGTAAAATTACCTTTCCTAGCACAGAGCAAGCTAGCGATGATGTTACTATCTCTGGACCGGAGTGGCAAGTTCCGCAGTGTGTCGATGAATTCCTGGGAATGGTTCCTGATAACCATGAACTGGTCCTAGCTCGTACTCCCGAAATTATGAAATTCCTTGAGTCGAGCAAGTTTGGAGATGACTTAGTCCCCAAGTTTAAGTCACAGTATGTCGTTGACGTGAACATTATAAGGAGTGAGCACGAGGTAACTGAAGACGGAGGGCCAACCATAACTCTTTTATGGACATTCACACGAAATGTTGCTGGTGGCGTCAGAGATGCCATTGACTTTCTCCATGCCAATTTAGCGCTAGCTGGTATTGAAACTACCACTGTCAAGGGTGCAATTCCGCATCCAAAGTCAGATTCGTTTGAAGATTCTCTCCCATATTTTGATTCCAAGCTTCTTCAGCATGCCCCAGCCTCAGTAAAAACCGACTCACCAACTAAATCCTCATTCAGCGAAGATCTTGCCCGAGAGCGCAGCACAATTTTCGACAGGCTCCGCAAGCCTGGCAGCATGTCTTCAATCTCCTCTTTTCTTGATAGACGCAAGAATAGCTCACACTTATCGGCAACGTCATTTTTTAAAAACGGAGGATCTGGAAATGTTTCCAAGTCATCTTTGATATCTATTGAGTCTAACCGCAGCTTCAATGCCGATCGAAATCCATGGAACGATAGTGGAGTTAATTTGCCTGATGACGAGGCATCATCTTGGAAAACTCGACATCTCTCTAGCGGAAGCAGCAGCAGCGGCGAGTTAAAAAACTTTTCTTTTCAGCAATATCCAGGTGATGTAATTGTAAGACACGGAATGCGTGGCTCTACTGACAGTGGCCGTCCTTCTACTTCTAATTCTAGCAACTCAAGATACCCTATTCTAGCCTCTCGTCCTTAGAGTACCAGCAACTTTTTTATTCATTTCCTACAGTCATTACGCAGTCGATGACTGGATATATACCCTCAGCGCGCAATAACCTCAAATACCCCAATACCCAGATTATGAATGTGCATGCTTTTGTATTTTTTTCTGATTTTTTGCTCAAGGTTGCTCTTAGTCTAAACTTATGATATTGGTCGGCATTGTATGTCTGAAACGAGCAACCCTAGATCAGATATTTTGAACATTTGTTTCGATCAAGAGAAAAGTCCTCAGAAGAAAATAAAAGCTAATAATTTAAATCTGATCGCTGGACTCAACTTCTCGGATGATCGATCTAGCGTTCAGGGCAAATTCCTAAGCTTGATTTATAGATGAGATTTCTCTTTTTTTCTGAATTCCCTGCAGTAGCAGCAATTTTTGTACATTGAAGGGTTTATTAAATATGCAGTAGAGATGACACCGGTTAGATAGGTGCGACATGAATGATATGATAGATGCAATTGGACAGTAGATACGCATCGTGATTTAGCCTCAACTCTTAAGTTCAAATTTGAGTGGTTTAAAACTACTGTGCAAATACTGTGGGCTTTCGAGTGTTTTACATGTACTGCCACACTAAACCTTCTGCAGCACAGTTTGTCTTCCCCTTGAAGATAGAAATTGGCGTGGGCCCGTATTTAGTAGCCAGCTGAGGCTAGAAACAGTCGATGAGAGGTGTGGTCATCGAATTGAGGATGTCCTAGGTCGTACTTGCAGATTAACGAGGCTTTAGCCGTAATCAAACTTGTTAGGAGGGAAGGATTGATGTTGCAGCTTCTTGAACCATTGCCTCGTGATCCAACTTCTTTTTTATCGCGAGATTTAACTGAATTTGGCTCTTGGAGAATATTTCTCTCCCAGGCTCTTAGAGGACATCGCGGACAGATGTTCAGTCCTAGTCCCCATTTCACTGATTTATATGCAACACAACGCAGGCAATATTGCATTCTTTGCCTTCCAGTGGTGCCGGTGTAATTGCTCAGTATGCTTTGCTCATGTGTGATAGCCAAGAAGAATCACATTCGAATAGAAGTCGAAAACTAACACGAGCGTATTCATATTTGACGACTTCTCGTCAGTGTCGGTCTTGTCATTCTCGTACGAGTCCTCAATCTCTATCTAGCCGCAAATTATCTCGCCTTGACGGCCGATAAAGGAGCTATCCCAATTAAAATTGGGAGTTTGCCACATTAATTACCTAGCATGTCTCGCTAAAAAACTACGACGCTACGTATACCAGCAATGAGAATAAGTCATCAGATACTAAGCTTGGGGTTTGGTCTATTGAGAATAGATAACTTTCGTGTTAATATAAAAAGTCAGGAAAGACAGTTAGTTGGGTTCTGAACTCCGAGAGGGAAGAGGCTTTTAGAGGGCGTGCTTGTGTGAAGGTACTGATCACGTGAGATATTCGCAAAATTGTGTTGTAATTTGATTTATAATTTGTATTAAAAGAGAACTACGAATATTTCATGATTATCTGCTCAATATTGCACGTCGCGGGGGACTATTCTCAACACCTGTCAGTGGTATCCCCTAAGTCCGTGAGATTTTATAGCAGCACGTTCTTTATAAGTGAGTTTGTAGAGTATCGCCGCTACGCCCAATGCATAAATTCTAGACGGGAGAAGCTGCCTAATCACCCTTATTCTAGCCATGTTTACGGGAATTAGGATTAGCTTCACATTTCACAAATTTTGGATTACGGTATATCGTAGTGTTTCAGTCGGGCAGATGGGATCTGTTCCTTTGATAGCAGGGCGCGGGCTGCTGCTAATGGGCTCTTTGTTATCAGAAAAAGGCTAGAGACTCTCAGACTGATGTAGACTTAATCCATATTCTCTTGTGAATCCGAATCCTAGCGGGAGTTTTTTCTGTCGAAATCTACGTTTGGTGATGGTCTGAGGATCGAGGCTTCAGAGCCATGATTGTATGAGATAATTGATATTTTGATTCATTTAATATGTATCTATCTATGACACATGCTCAGTGCTTTGTGTTCATGTGGAATGACTTTTTTGACTTCAGAGACACTTTTGGTCCGGATTTCATTCGCAAATCCACTACGAGGTCTGTTTGTTTTCACGAAACAGTCGATCCTCAACTGCGAGTAGCAGTTAAAGGAATGTTTTAGAGCCTTTCGCATCCAAGCGCACCTTCAACCCCAACACGAACACCGCGGTAGGTACCGTCGAGTGTTGCTGGATTCGAATCAGCAATATCCTATCTCAAATGGGATAGGTGTCCAAGCTGTATAAGCTCTACATGAGAGACCAGCGCGGACAATGTTCCACTTTTTCTAGCCACGAACGCATCATCAGTTTTACCTCTGCTCCAACAAACCAAAGCGGGGCGCGTATGATGCTCTTCAATTTGAAAATTCTTTTCAAAAATCGGAATTCCCAGGATTTTGGAGGGTATCTATCTCTATCATGATATTGTCTATCTGCCCCGATACCCCTACCTCAATCAAAAAACCCTACTACACCAGATATGTGAACCCTGGTTTTTATCCTTCTGAAGGTATCCATCACGATATAGGCGTGGATTTGCAGGATAGACACTGAATCGATGAGAAGAATTTTCATTGGAATGAACATGCAATAGGTCACAGTTGTAGACCTGATAATACTTTGGTCGGAGTCAATCCTTTTGCGAGTGGAAGATGGGTGTAGTAGGGAGTCCTATATTCACTGCCTTGTGGGCCAACGTCTTCTACATTGCAAAATAAGACTGAGCAAGAATCTAGGAGATTACTCCTCTCGGGTTTATAGCCCTCCATTGATGGGTGTATAGCCTTCGTCCTTCCAAACCAATATTTGTGTGTGGGAAACTTATGCTGTTGGATCTATGTTTGTGGTTATTTTCACAATAGAAATAGATATATATAACCTTTACACGTGTGAGCGAGAGAAATCTAATGTCCCAGGTATTTTCTCCTTCTTGTCTTACTTTACTACGCTTCATGGTGTAATTAGGTGTTGCTGCTCATTAAAACCCTTTTAGATTGCAACATTGCAATTGTTAAAAATGAGCGAAATCTAGGCGCCGGATAGTGCGGCCTTTTCTGTACAATGATGGGCTAGTCCAGTCGCCATCGCGTCGAACAGTTGTGATGGACCGTAATTTATCGCATGGCACTTACCTTAGGCTATATGCTGAGGTACATGTCAAAATAAGTTATTCCTAAAATTCGTTTTTTTACGTGAGGAAAAGCTGAAATAATAGACGGCAAATAGAGTCGAAAATTTTACGTAAACAGCCAGATTATGCTTACTGAGTGGCTGAGACATTATTTCACCTATTGACGACGGTTAACGTCGTGCCAGTGCATAGAGTCCGAAAAATCTGCACGCCGCCTAGCTCAATCCGACAAAGCTACTCGACATGTCTGCGCCCCGGAATGCCCAGTAGAGCTCAAGAGCAAGGGCCTGCGGTCCCGTGCCCGAGAATTAGAGACCCCCATAAAAATGTCTCTCTCGCAAGATCTTGAACTAGCCATGAAAAATACATGGAAAAGAATTATTTTGCCGATACGAGGCTCTCCACTTCCTTTTTTCGCACTGGAGCGTCAATCATAATGGAGGTTATGACCCTTACAAGAACGACTTGGCTCTCACCTGGCCCCTCAGTGTGTGAGCTTCCTCCCCTGAACCATATTCCCAGGTTTACGAGGTATGAAGCTACGTGCGGTCTGCGCCTGAGTCTAGGATTGAGCTGACTGACCGGAAGGGATATGATGGTGCAACTTGACCTGCCAAGGCCGCGCAGCCATCCAATATTTGCGACTACTTTGTCGCCGATAGGCTATCTCGCCGGTGATTATACTATTCGGGCCGCTATTGATCTCCAGACACTAGAATGGCAAGATCTTGGCCCAGTTGATAGCCAGAGAAGCCTTGCACTCGTCTTCGACTTCCCAAATTGTCCTCGTCATGGAGGGAGCTTGGGCGAGCGCATTGGGCTACCATTGCCTGGAATATCTACATGATCCAGATACCAGTGTAAGACCACTCTCGCAGGCGTTGCGTGTAAGGGAGCCTCGGCCGATCTTTCGCCCAAGGTTACGATAGATGATCACTCTGCGTCTGCTCGGATTTTTCGGAGTATTGTTGAAGAGATGACGAGATCCAGGGTTAGGCAAGAAGCCTACTACAGCCCGAATTGGCATAATTACGAGCATCTATCCACTGCACCTGTCTCAATAGGTTTTCTCTCACGGTCTAGAGCCCACGGTGGGGAACTGGGTCATCAGGAGCTCAGGTGAAATGCGATCAGGTCTCACTGGAATATTACGAGCTCTCTCCTGTTTTGGGTGGGTTGAGTGTTTACGCTACTCAGACTCCACTAATGGAATAAGTCCGGCTGGTGTACCAAGACACTTTCCGAATACTGGTCTGGATGAATGGGATTAACTGCCTGAAAGCCAGGTCATAGCAAGTCAGAAAATAAGGTATGAGCTGAGGCTTCTGATAATATATGACTTAACTCGGAACTCAAAGAAGTAAACGGTTTAAGACAAAACAGGAGAAAGAGTAAGACAGTGTCCACATATTTCTCTGTAGATATCCCACACAACAGCACAGCCACCAATGCCCCGACTGAAAAGGCTTTGCGGGCAGCACGAAATAGACTACAATTAAAATCTGCCCCTGCTCCGCCTATATGGGACTTGATATGATCATAGCGTCTGCATTGTTCCATCGGTAATCTAGACCCTCACTCCCAGAAATACCCCTGACCTTTAACACACAGACTATTAGATAAAGGCAAATTCCTAAGCCTAAATCCAAAAACTGTTAGCACTAGGGCCTTGGCTACGTTTTCTAGTGCTGGTTTAGTACTAGTCGGACAATATATGAAAACCTGTAGGCAGAAGGTAGTAGCTGTTTTATCACCTTACATTGAAAACTACAAGCGACTTAGGGTGGAAACCTAAATTGCGGTTTGAAGAACAAGTAAATAGATTACATAGT